GGCCACTCGAAATAAAGTAGCTGGGGGAATTCACTCTTTTCGCGGCTTGCAACGGGTTGGACGCTCTCTCAATACCGTTGGGAGCTGTCTGGTGAGGAGAGATGTGGGTCCTGTGCTCCTTGAGTGGACGCTTTGGCTTGGGACAGACGGTGCGGAGGACCTTGCGTGGCCAAGCAGAGGCGGGGAATGGCTGACCTAAAGAGAACGCGACACTGGGCATGTTCAACGACAGTCGCGAAGGGAAAACATCCACACATGAAGCATCATGAAGGCTTTCCATGCAAGCGGCGAGATGCATCTCCACGTTGTGTAACACGTTTGGGTAAAAATTCATAATCTTTTGTAGCTGGCAAACAGCTCTCACTCCTCGTCCCATTCAACTCAACACTTGTTTACGCACGCCTTCGATGATGCCAGGTGAACGAGGACTGGATGACCTGGGATGTCCCTGGCGACTTGAAGGGCAAGGAGCAAGTTTACGAGAATCCGGCACAGGGGCAATGACCTCATGTGGGTGGCAGCATCAGTCAGTGAGTTTATGGGTGGCATCGGCAACAGACACAACAACTGATGTTGGGGGTGGGAAAGTATGATGAAACATGTGTGTCATTTTTCAGTTCCTGGCGTTCCCAATTGGAACTGTTCCCAATATATGATTAGCTGATATATCATATATTGGGAACAGTTCCAATTGAAAACAGGTTGAGAGGGTCGCTTTGAGGTGGTTAGCGGTGTGCTAACAGAGAGCCCCTTCATAAACCACTGGTGACTAGAACAACAGACCAAAACTTGCTTCAAGGGTTCTCCTCCAACTGTTTGATCAATCGCAATTTTGGGCCACACTGGGGACTCGTCCAGAATGACCGGGAGTTCTGCTGACAGAACACTGGCGAGTTGTTGACGAACTGAAAGGATTGGCAGAAGACGCTCCTCTTACTGCAAATAGGAGTGGGAGCTCATCAATGACATGCCAGCCATCCTCACCTCCCTTGCGCAAGACCTCGACATGGCGCCTTGGATCTCCTTGGTCTCAAACGATGGCGTCAACGTTGATGGAATTTGTATTCAAATGGATCCAAACATGAGATAATGAGGTGTACTAGCTGGAAAATGGCGGGAGGTGGGATTGGACAGTTTCAGGACAGAGGATATTTGGGGCAGGTCGTGCTGCAGTGCTACTGCTGCTGCTACTGCTAGTGCTACTGCTACTGCTACTGCTACTCCTACTACTACTACTGCTACTCCTACTACTACTACTACTACTACTACTACTACTACTACTATGCCTAACCGCAGCACGGGCTCCCTAGAGGTTGAATGCTGAGCGAGGCAGTTTTAACAAGGCGAGGCACTAGTTCAAAACATTTGTTGTATATAATGAAACAAAGTGCGAAACCCAGGGATGCGATTTCCATAGCGAGGGACAATTGAGGTCCGATAAATATTTCAACTTGTCTGGGTGCAGTTGAATGATGTCGACGGAGTCAACTGAGGCGGCGTTCGGGCACAATGACTTGACCACGGACAATGCTTTCTACTGGAAGGATTGTGATCACTTGAAGCTGGGATTGCCACCTGGTTATCCGGATTGTGAACTGATTCTGACGGTGGCTTGAAGATGTCAGATTGGTGGCAAGAGCATGGAAGAACATCTCCGCATTGAATAGGCCTGAGCTGGCTGGCCCCGGAACAGTCGAAATGTAAAGGAGTGAAAGAGCTAGTAGCATTAAAGCATACAGCTACAGTACATTTTTTAAGATAGTGCAAAGCCTCTTAAAGGTGGGCACACATGAAAACAAATAAAAACTATATATATACACACACAAAGGTGGTTCCCAATATACATACAATTTCAGTTGACATTGCAGTTCTTGGTTTCTTTCAAGTGTTTGTTTGGTGATCAGGACGGAACAAAACAGGATCGGTCTCCTATATTTCTTTCCTTTGAAGAAAACTGGAATTTATCGTCATCCTAAGACAATCCTAAATCATTGGGTGGAACGACCTGATTCTACCTGTTTGCGTGCCATGCCGGATTGGCCCATCCGGTAGGGTTTTTGAGGGATATTGCAGGTACCTCACTCCTCACCACTCTTCATGAACATCCCTTCCTCTAATGCGAGGACATCCGACCAGATTTGAGACTCCAACCTACTCAATGCATGTACTGAGATTACCCTCACTGTTCCCTGAACCTCGCGAGTCTTTCTGCTCATTTCTGCACCAAATGGACACGAAACCCGCAGGATCCCCGTCCCAGCGTGCGAACGAAGCCGCGTCGTGAGGGATGAACGACTCGCGTCGTTCATCCGGGTGAAGATCGGGTGAGGTTTGATTGGCAGCAAAGTTGCGTCAACAACGTGGCCCAAGAATGGGCATGGAACTGGCATTTTCTGGAACCCGAATTCCTGACCGAGCATGAGGACCACAGAAACCATGAGGTTCTGGGTCTTAACTAGTTTGCATGACATTCTGTGTTTGCGTCTATTGACTATATGTCCAGATTTGCTGTCAGTCGGATGTTTTTTTGTGATGGAACAACACTATACACCGCCACAATCATGTTTAATGATATTTGGTGTTTGAACCTGCCTGTCCTGGTGGCCACTGTAACCAAAATGTTTCATCGTCTGCATCCAGTTGCCTCTATCCAGCCCACCACCCGCAGTACTTCATTGCCGTCACCTTCCGTCGCCTGTCTCATGAGACTCCCCCTCGTTCCGAGCAGAGGGGACTCCTGCCAGAGGAGAGGCTGATTGGCGAGCTCCTCGTGACGTACGAGAGATTGGGGCGCCCCATCTCAAGAAAGAAGTTTCTGTGACTCGGCAGATGGGAAACCCTGTCCTCCGTAAGTGGGGACAATGGAGTCTTGTGCTCCATCAGGCACATGGTGTCCAATTGTTAAAACAAGGCCCAACGGCATGTGAAAGGTTCACAATGCCGCATGTTTTACAAGCTGGAATGGCTGGAAGAGTTATATTGTTGCATCTTATAAGCCACAAATGTTTGGCTAGCTATCGCACTCCATAAGAAAGAGGAAGCCCGCATCATGGTTCAGCATCAATGCCGGCCCTGCCAACATCTTCGGCAATAGCCTGGTATTGACAGAGGATTTGTGCGTCCAAGGTGTGGGACAAGTTGTGCACCGTTCTGTCTCAGCATGTGAGCAGGCCTTTGAGCTTCACCTCTTGACAGGCATGCATATGTCCTGGGCACCGTGCAGATGTTTGTGTTTGGCGGCGGTGGCTTGCAATTGTTGATGTGCCTCGGCCCAACGCCAGCCGTTTTCACCAGGGGGGGACCTCAGAACCGAGGGGCGCTGCGGAAGTGAGCTCTACCCACTCAGTGGCTCACCTGCATGGTGAGCACTCCGAACCCAAAAAGAATGACCGATCGGTGAACCGTGAATTGTTCATGGCAACTGAGGGAGTCGGTATACCTCAGATGTCTATAGAAAGTTGCACATCAAGAGTCTGAAGTGAAGCGGCCAGTGCGGATTTCGACCAACAGCGTCCCGCAACTTCGCCCAGTATCGCCGCTCACCTTCCGGCTTTCCTGTCATGGGGAGGTCCACATTCCAAAACACCCGTGGAGATCCCGCGGAGTGAAAAGATCGCCGGTGTAACGCACGTGGTTCACAGCCTAAGTTCTCTTTACACACCTGGTCAAATGAGCAATGTGGGGGTTGTTCAGCCCAAGAACTCACAGAATCCATCAGAATCCCCAACGCAGTGGATTCTTTGATTCGGTCATGATGTCATGCTCCTGTTGTCACCGAGCATGTTCCGCCCGACCTTGACCGGGATCCGATGTCTTCGAGGGCTGAGCTCCACTCGAAGGGCATCTTCCAGTCGTTAGTCCCCAACGACCCCCGCTGCCGGATGAGCGACTCTACCATGGATGAGAACTTACGCGAGAGACCCGGATAGACTGATGAGGGTGGTTGACCAAAGGGAGCGAGCAAGGGAAACGTACCGCTAAGCGCGGGCCCCAAATCACTGGCTTGTAGAGATAAAGTGGTTTTCTATATGTTGTGGTTTCCACAAGTTCTCCACTGTGAAGATCGCCGGATGCCAGTCCAGGGCTACAGCATGGCACCTTGCTTGTGGCAAAGATCCTGTCTGAACCGAAGAACTGAAGCTGCTTCCACACGCAAATCCCCATGAATCACCTTGACTGGTTCTTCAGTCGGAGAACCTCCAGGTTCCCCGGAGTCCTTGGGCATTGAGAGCAGTGTTCTTCTTTCCAAGCCCACGCCCCCAGCTGGTGACTGTCTTTCTTCAGCCCAGGAAGCTCGTCGGCGCAGAGATGACCCGGCGCACCTTCACCAACTGCTGCCGCCCGCACCGCAGGGGACGCTCCGATGGTGGGGGGATCTGGGGTCGAAGTGGTTCGGACCGAGCGAGGCGGAGGCCGGTCGACCATGTCGCTTCTCGGAACCGACGGGGCAAACAGTTCAGTGTTTGCAAAGAGTTCGAGTCTCCGGTGGAAGATGTCGAGTCTCCCCAGAGTCTCAGTTTCAACTTCCAACATCTTCCAACTATTGAAAGGCTTTTGATTCATTAATTTGACTGTGTCCACAATGGGTATAATTGATTCACCTACTTTTGGTTATGCTAGGGGTACCTGTTCCTCGTTTGGAAATTGAAGACATGAATCTTCAGTCCTCACCACTCTGACTCAGGCAACATCATGCGGCGGCACGACTTTGCCTCAGCTTGGCTGCGATGGAAAGCTGAGAGGACAAAAGGCCGGAAGCACGTTCAGGTATTGATGGCAATGACGGGAACATTCATTTGCACTTGCGAAGAAGAACCTGTGCCACCAAGATAAACAGGGCATACCTAATCCATTGCACTTGCTAAGAGAATACAGTTTCAATTTGAAATCTGTTCCTATGGATGCAAGATGGGCTGTTCATCAAGAGTTAGGTTTGCACGGAACTGACGCAGCCATTTGAGAGCTTGCCATCTACCATGATCTACCTGCACAAGTGAGCAATGCTGCGCTTCCTTCCATTTGCAACTTGGAGATTTCAGAGCATTTGAACATATTTGATCCATATTAGTGAGGAAAGGAGGGAACAAGATCAAGCCTAAGTAACAACAAGTACCCATAGCCCATAGCAGCTTTTATGCATTTTGCACTCCTTTGGATTATTCTTTTGGGGCCGGTTGGGGCCATAAAACGTTCCAATAATTACATGACCTTGCCTAAGATGTTGAAATGCTGATTGCAGTGGCATGATTGCCTCGTGATATCTGTTCTTGGCCTACCAAGGGCATTTTACTCCTTGCGTTCCCATGCCTCGCGCAAGGAAACGAAGGACACTGGAACGCTTTGGTGCGTGGACTGTTTCGAGGGGAGTGGCATTTGGGCGAGTCAATGTATGGGAATGGATTGACTGGAGGGAGTGGTTGGAGTTCCAGACACCTAAGATGCAGGTTCTGCCAATTGCCCAGAGATTCTGGCAGACATGGTCCATGGATCCTGGTGGGGACTAGGATCTCTTCGCAGGCCAAAGGCACACTGGTCTTGTGATGTCTTGAGAGGTGCAAGCCAGTTCCCTCAGGAGATTGCAGTGACCAGGCCTGCTCCAAGACGGGAGGCAGCCTGTTCATACAGTGGCTGAGCTGATTTAACGGGTCAGATCTGCGGGATTGCCCATGGAGATATATGACTTGCAGAGTGGTCTGAGTGGTCAAAGAAGTGTTGAACGGGCATGAAGACCCGGCGGGATAGAACCCATCGCAGCCATGCAGCTACTAGGAATCCGTGTGCCCATGTGTGAGGCCCAAATGTCAAAGCATAGAGGACAAGAGGACCATGCGCTCTCATAACAACATGGAGTTGTGCATCCCTCAACGGTTCCTTCACACATCACCTTACTAGTACTTCTTGGGGAGCCTTCCACCTTACGGTCTCTGCATGGGTGGCTTCGCACGGGCCACCGTGGTCCCTCTGCGGTACCCACCAAGGCGCCGCCTCGCGCCGAGCAAAGTCTCAGCGGACCCGGTGGCGGCCGCGCTGGCGCTGGAGCGGCGGAGCTCCGCGGCCTGGGTGGCCGCGCCCTTCGGCGACTGCCGGCGAGCGTGTCCCTCAGGGTAGCTTGGTGTCTGAGGTGAGTTGTAGGGGGGTGGGTGGGGTTGCGGAGCAGATGGAGGAATCAATTCTGAATCATTAGTGTAAATAATATGCACTAAATTGCATAGACATTTTAAAGCCAGAACCCATTTGACCCCCGCATGGACCGCTTGGATAGGAAAGAAGCCATAAGTTTGGTTGGTTGGTGAGGTCGGGTTTGAAGAGATTCGCTCTTGCAAAGGGCGTTTTTCTTGGGCTGTCATTGATGCTGAATCACCCAACATAATAATGAGAGTGTTCTTTGTTTCAGGCCCGAAATATGAAACACCCATATTGGTACCCAGAAGCGACACCCCTTAAATCGTTGCGTTGAAGCCGTCAACCCCTCGGTCCAACTTCACTGACTCTGTCATGCCGACCGTGGCGGTTCCGAGGCAACGCAGCGATCCAAAGCTTGCCTTTCAGGAGCGGCGTGAGACGGGGAGGATGAGTTGCACCGGTTCCGGACGCCGGGCCTAGTGCACTGGGGAGTGCATCTGGGTGCAAGTGAAGGACCACGGAGCAGCCGCACTGCCCTGGTTTGGTCGGCTTCTCGACCGATGGACTGACTTGACGTGGACGTGCGCTGGATGCGTGACACGCTGGAATGTGCGTTTTCTGGATTAGTTTCGCAGGAGGTGGTCATGTTATGATCCATTGAAACTTTCTAGTTTCATGTGCAGTATTTCAGTATATCGTATGTTATTGTGGAGTTTGTTGATGTTCACAGTTTTTCGATCTAGACTCAACCCCAACCACAAGATTTGAAGCATTTGTATAGACCGGATATGGGGGGGGATTTGGCGGAAAGCTGCAAGCTTGGGAGTTTTTGTGGAGGTCAGCCAGCAAAGGCATGCTAGGCCAGCAGTGCAAGCCCGTCTCGGGTGGTTCCATCGAACACCCAGAAAACCCTATCATTTCACTTGAAACTCCAACGTAAATGACCTGGGATGGGACAGCTCCCAAAACAGAGAGACTAAAAGCGCCGCGCGTTGCGCCACGCGCAGGAGCGCCCTGTACAGTGTTTTTCAACGAGTGGCGAGCTGCTGGAAGACTCCAGCTGCCATCATCTCATGAAGCCGGAGGTATACAGGTGCCTAGTCTGGCCGGTCAGATGTGAAGATGTGGCACTTCCCCTTGTCGGTTCACGAAACAAGGTCCAGGCTCTTTGAAAAGGAAGGTTCAGGCGTTGGCACTTCCATGCCGCCATGCCACCCCCCAAGACTCGCCCTCCAACCGCTTTGAGTGAGTCCATGAACCGAAAACCGTCATGTGGAGGCAATGTCATTGCGGCGTCATCTGGTGTGCGAAGGAGTGCCAAGACTTCGATCTCGAAGCTGTTCTCGAGAGCTTCTCGGAGCAAAGACAGCTCCGAGCCGACTGTTCACCCGGCACAGCCACCATCCATGAAAGATCATTCATGAAAGGGTGATGATGGAAGAAGAGCTGACGTCAGATTATAGCCGGTCATACAGAGTCATATCATACCCTACCCTTTCAATATCAAACCTCGAAAGGAAACTTTAAGATGTCGACGATCCAGTAACGGACAACTATAGCAGATGAACTTCCATAGGTAACAGATTCTTTTTCACCAACCTGCCCACGTGGATTTCGCTAAACTCCATCGGGGGAACCGACCGTCAATGTCGATTCCACCATTGGATGGGACCGTCGGTCGATCCCGTTCCGCGCACATAGGCGAACACACGGACATCGGAGACGAACGCGATTCAGAGTTTGAATGCTTGGGCTGCTTCCCACTAGGAGACTGATCTGAAGTTGTCGATTTTGTTTGAGATGGAGACGTTTTGGGCGGAGGTCGACATGTCAAGCGAGTGTCCCGAAAGGTGGATCTTGAGGTGAGATTTGGCAGGAGCAGATGTTGATACAGCTTCCATGATCCAGCGAGACCGCACCATGACTTAGACTTATAGCCAATCATGTCACCATCATGTCCTGACATTGGCGCGTGGCTTGAATCATGATCATTAAGAAGGTGACCCGCATGAGGCCAGGATGGCCATGTCCTTCCAATGTGGCGATCGACCGGCGTGGTGTTGGAATTGGGTGGCCAGACGAAATGGTCCAGCAAAGACCAGGTGTTTGAGGCGCATCATGTTGAGACAGCCATTTTGCTTCCCTCTTTGTTTGTGTCAGCCACTGTCTTCCCTCAATGACTCATTGAGGGAGGAGTCGATCCATCGAAAGCAGTGTCGAAAGCATCGACTGGGAAGGAGCTGTGTTTTTCTTCGGCAGGAGAAGATGATGGCGTTGCCGATCTCACAGCTGATGCCCGGGATGTGACCTGCATGGATTGGCAACATGACACTCCTTGCCGCGGCGGACTGCCGAGCCTCGGACAGAAGGATACCACCGAAAATATGCTGGATTGTGGTAGGTGGTGCTGGCTGTTGGTGGGTGGTAGTGTGGGTTGTCGAACATTGTGGCGATTGTGGTATATTTTGGCGGGTTGTGTTTTTCGCGAAAGGTAGCCCTTTAGGGGATACCTTGAGTTTGTCTTGCGAAGCAAGTGTTGGCGCGTCCGGGTCTAATAATTGATCATTCAATTCAACCCCCCCCCTCGAATTGATTTCTCAATACAGACCCCCCCCCTTCTAAATTCAATTCTCTCCTGGAGAACGTCTTCGTGAGCCTCTCATGATTTCAGGATAGTTGAAACCCTCTTGAACATTCAGAAAGAGTGCATATGAAATTCTAACCACAAAAGGTGTTCCCCGAGGGGATACATACCTAGAGTTTGTTTTGTGAAGCACGTCAATTCTCTCCTCGGGAACGTCTTCGTGAGCCTCTTATGGTTTTAGGATAGTTCAAATCCTATGATCCTCCGATTCAATGCTCACCGATGATCTGAGCCATGGGGCAAGTTTGTTTTCCTCAGAATCTTTTTGAACATTTCGAGAGCATATGTTTGAACATTTAGAGTGCATATGAACATATATATTTACGACAGGTCGCCTCCGAGGGGATAAATCACCATGTCGAACATTGCATTTTTGTTCCTGCCTCTCGCGTTCTCTTCTCTTCCCGCTGTCCTACCTTTCGTGTCTCCCTCCTCTCAAGTACATCTATGATCCTTTGTTTGCCGCACATTTTTGATCTCAATGTCGAAAGAATGGTTTTGTTTTAGTCTTGCAGTGAACAGGTTCTACCTGTTTCATGTTACTTTTCTTTGTAATATATGATTCTCCTGTTTGCAGTCTTACGGTCTCATGTGTTTCATCCTACGATCTTATCTATGAATCTATGTTCTATCATGTTCTGAACATGTCGTCAAACGATTCCACACGTCGCTTTCTTTGACCCAAAGGTCCACCCAATGCATGTGGCGCAGATCGTCAATTCGTTCGTCCAAAAGCGATCCGTGAACTGCCAATAGACCAGCTTTCTTGATGAATCTTCCACAGGTTGCATGTTTGGAGGTTTTGCGACGAAGCACTTTCTTGGTGAAAACACTGTTCGATGATGTTCAATGCGGACCCATCCACTTCTTCCTTTCCATTAAGCAACTTCATTCAACTTCTATCCCGCGCCTCACTTGTGAATGGACAGTCCACAACAACCAACAGATGTTCATCCAAGCCGCAGAACTCACGACATGGTCCGGTCCACCCTCCACCGACCACTCGCTTCGACTCTCTCTCTCTCTCTCGCAGGTTCTATCGCCTTCGGATGAACAAGCCCATGTCGGCGGAATCCTGCTTTGAGTTCTGCATTGGTGCCGGGATGGATTTGTTCGGCTTGGTCGAAGGCGTCGAGTGCCGTTGCGGTGCCTCGCGGCTCAACAAGGGCATTTGGCGCGATGAGAAACCCAGACCAGGTGGGAAGCGACAGAGCCGACCGGGCGGAACAAGCGGGACATGGATGAGGAACATCTGAGTTTATACATGATTCATACCAGATCTATGATCACTTTGAAGATCAAAGAGACACCCAGTTCGAAAGTTTGTGGGGCATGTTTTGCAGTGAAGATCTTGTTTTGTTTTGATTTAAACATCTCTGGTCCTGTGCCAGGGCTGGAATTGCCAGCGCCCTTGAGCGGTTGCATGACCGAGCAAAAATGCCCTTTGCGCGTCTACCGATGGCTGGGCCCTTTCGTGGGAGGTGGTACTGTGCCGGAGCACCTGATGATGTCGTGCCTGGGCCGAACGTGGAGACGCCTTGGGTTGTTCAACGCACCGGAGACGCGACGGGTTAGTCAAACACAATGTGTCGCTGACCAACGGGGATCCACATGCTCAAAGATTTGTCAACAATTAATGCATCAATAGGACCACAGAATGCAGCCGAGCAAGTTTTCAACGGTGTAAGAATGTTGTAAGCGCCATGCAACATTTAATGTGTAGCATGCAACATAAGACTGTCACGTTTTCTGGCCAACAGGCGTGCTGCGCAAGTGAAGATATCGAAGCATGCCAAGCGTGTCAGTGTGGAGGCATGCTGTGGTGGCACATACTGCGCGTGTAAGCATATTACCATGTAGCATGCAACACCTGTGAACATGCATAGTGCGCACCACGTCCAAACATGTTGTAGCATTGCATCTTCGCATCTTCGCATGGGCAGCACACGCCGAGATGTTCTGGATCAGCGTGCGCATGTGAAGAGTTTGTAGCGTAGCATGCTGCGCACAATCCGCTGATGGTGATGAAGCAAGGCAAAGAATCGCCCAGCCGCGGAGCTTTTGAAGACCGGCGCTTACAAGCGTTTACCTGTTTACCTCGGGCATGTGATTGATTGATGGTACTAGTATCTAGAACAACATGGAACCCTAAGAATAAAATCAAAACATCTGGACCCGGGCTGCGTAGAGGAACGTCCTCGTCAACATGAACATGAACCCCGAACCCCTCGATCTCGGTACCGTGCATCGCTCGTTCGAGTGTAGGTAGCGCGCCTGTTTCCGCGGACCCGACCCATGGCGATGACCAGGCATATCGATGACCAGACCATGGTGGACTCCATCGTGACAGGGCGCCCCATCACCGAAGAAGACGAGGAAGATGGCGAGGAGACCGCGCAGTCACGCCGGGACGGCCGGAACGCCGGAACGCCGTCGCGGTGGCACTCCTTGCGCAAACAACATGGAAGTTCCACCATGGGAACGTCCAGGAATGTCCAGGAAAGTACGTAATCTTCCAATGTTCCATTTCCATGTGAGGTCCAGCTGTATACCGAGACATTTTTTGGGGTTCTCCAAGTACAATCGTGTCGAGCAAGCGAACCAGCACTACCATGAACCATGCATTGTTTCGGGCAGTGCTGTCCAAGTTTCAAGTGTCGGACATGCTTCAAAACTTTGATCTGACAAGTATAGCCTTCGGTGGCCTATGAGTGAATATAAGTGAATATGATCCTGCCATAGACGCTATGCCTGGCAAATGATTGGCCTACACGGACACACCCCTTGCCAAGGTTCGTGAGCCTGTCAATTAGCCACTCTCTTGCAGATCACTCCTTGCGCAAAAGAGACCTTAGGTTTCCACCTTGATCATGCATGCATTGAGAGGTTGAGGGATGGGCACACACCCGCACGGTGTGGAGCACGGCAGGAGTTGAGCGAAGATCCTGCGCCCATGGCACAGGCCCAGACGGAGAATGGCCAGTTGGAGGAGGTCCTGGTGGGAGCATCACTGGGGTGTTTGGACAGTGTTGACACGTTGAAACCTCTGTGAACTCCATTTTAGTAACCTTAGTAACCTGAGTCACCTTAGTCACTTAGTGTCCATGTCCACCAACCGCACGCGTTCCCCCCCCCACACGCTGCTTCAAAAGGAGCCGCGGTTCGGTGTTTGCCCGCGGCCCGGTGTCCCCTCCCCTCCCCCACCGCACGACCGGTCGCAGGACGTTCAGCTGAGCACCGTTACGGAGGGCCCGGGCTGGGGGCGCCTCTGCGACGACAACGACGGCTGCCTCGGAGCCCGACCGTGGATCGAGCGGACGGCGGTACCACCGGAGGGGATGAGCGACCAGTGGCAGGAGCTGCTCGGAGGAGGTTGGGTGACAGGTGGTTTTGGAAGTGGTTGTGTGGATAAAGGGTGCGGTGGGGTGGGGTGGGAAGAATGGCAGAAGCAGTAATTATCAAACAATGAGAGGGAGTAGGAAACAAAAAAGGATAAGGGCTACGGCCAGAAACGTAAGGCATGGATCAAGAACCAAAGCCCACACCCGCACCCGATTCATCCCTTGATCCAAAGTTCAGGTCGGTTGGTGAGAGGCTCCTCAGTAGTAAACCTTGGAGAATGAAGTCTGGACTTGGTTCATTTTGAGTGGCAAGGGGCTTCCCATCAACAAACCTTGCAGTTACTGGACTGCACTAAGTTCACGTTGGGACCCCTCAGGGATGGAGCACGTGTCAACGCAGCAACGAAGCCAGCAGAATGAAGCCAAGCATGAAGTTCCTCGGCGCCACGCGACGCTTCGTTCTGCTTTCGAAGCAACGAAGGGTCTCGCACCGTGCCCTCGCTTGACCAGGTGACCAGCGTTTCCCCCGAGTGGCGGGAAGTTTTGTGCGTCACTCTTCGCGCCTGTCAAACGCGGGTGGCCGGCGTTGGCCTTCTGAGCCCTAACCTTCACACTATGGTGGCTTGATACCGCCTGTGGGGCTTGATTTCGCCGTTGCCGGTTTCCTCTAAATCGTCTCTCTGGAAACTGATTTACCGGCCCCCGCAAGTTCCTTTCTGGGGCCAGAGGTGCCAGAGGGGTGCTTTCGTCAGCGACAGCGTTGCTTGAACTTTTCCTGCCCCGGCTAAATCCATTGAAAAGGGCCGGGGCCCTTTAACATATTCTCTGATATGGCTTGTCGAGACTTCGTTTGGCAGATGCGGCCGCCCAAGCCCATTCTTTTAATAAAGCGCCTTGGGTGAACTTCCGCCTGCGTGAAGCAACTTGGGTGGAAAATGGGCGGCACTCTTTCAGTGCCTGACTGTCATTGCTCTTGTCCGTGAGCCTTTGCATTGTGAGCCGCACTGCCTGCGCTGGTGCACGGCGTCCGACTTTGCGAGCCGCATGAGATCCCGGTGGAATGTTTACAGGCAACCGCTAACCTGAAAGTGCCACCTGACTGGTTTGTGAACACCAGTATTGTGTGCGTGACGTTTTCGCATCTGGTTCATCTTCCACACACTGCTCTCGTGAACGCAGCGCTGCTTCGCTGGTTGACCTCTCTTGCCTGCAAGGGGTTGCGATTGCTCGCCAATTCACCCAATGCAAAGCCAAGACCGTCCGGTCCCACGGTGATGGGTAGAGATGCGGCAGGTTTGGAACCATCCGCCGACTGCCTGGTAGTGAGAGGTTTGGACACTCACAAAAAGGTTAAAGTAAAAGAATCAGACAGTCCAGGTTAGAGGCCGAATTGCAAGGGGGATACTAAAAGATTACAACAGCAAAAACCAGCCAGCGTACCTCTGAAGAGTACGTGACCGAAGGACCAGAAGTCGTTGGTGACCCAACTGGAAATGGTTTGTTGACGGCAGCAACTAGAGGATCAAGTGACCGGTCACGAACTGAAGAACCAGGGAACTCGGGGACCTGCCGTGGAACTTCTAGACCAAAATCCCAACGGAGCTCTCGTGTTGTTATTTGTTGCCGATGATTTTCATTCAATATAATTGAATTATATAATTGGACATCAATTTAGCTCGAAAACTGGCTGCTTCAACACAAGATTGGAGAGGACTTGTCGCATCCCGATTCTTTTTTCAGCAAGGGGGTGTTGGTCTCCAGGAAGGTGGTTTTTGTTTCGACAGATTTATTGCAGCAGTGATTAGGAGCCGGAAGTCCGGGAAGGATGCTTTCTCTTCCCTGTTTGGTGGCTATTAAGTCTTTTTTCCCTGTTCTGAGTCCATTATGATTCATGATACGTTTTCGGAGTTGAAGATGTGCCATTAGTAGGATTTACCATCCGAGCGTTCTTTAGCTTTGAGCACTGCAAGAGCATTATCATTATCCATAAATCTTGAATTGAATCCCAAAAATCCGCCCGCACCAAAGGTGCTGAGGCGTTGTCTCAGTTCGCGTAAACCGCTACAAGTAGTAATTGCTAGATCGCTCATTAAGCTTTAGTTTTTTGCTCTAGAATGTCATGTTTTTGATGTGTTTTTTCACAAACCGATGAAACATGAGCAAATCATTGGCGATGTTAGCTATGCTGCCCGAATGGAATTGTATTATTGAAAGCATGTGCGTGTTTGCACCTGCAGGTTTCCCTTTTGGGGCTGATTGTACGCCTAAGATTGGTACCAGCGTAGTCGATATCTAAGATGCAACGTCTGATAATCCGGCTCAGGGAGCACTAAGTGCTTTCCGTGCGGGCGGTCTTCGCCGCGATGTGAGCTCGGCTCGGTCTCTCGTTCGCCCCAAGAACCACCAAAGGAGGACACACCGCATTCGCCGTCTCGATCTCGAGGTATGTCATCTTTCGCTACAAGTTCAAAGACGGCACGGATGCCGCGCGCAAGGAGGGCTTGCGTGCTGCAGCGGCCGAGTGGCGTTTACATACCTGCGTGGCCGTCATCGAAGATCAGGCTCGGTGCGGTGCAACGACATGCTAAGGCTCAGGAGTCAATGGATGAATGCTGTGGACGTAACAGCCCAGCTGGCGTAGAGCTGTGAACCGTTGTTGAATGGGTTTCTAATGGTTTGTGTGTGGCTGGCGAAACACTTCAAGAAAAGCATGTCCAGGTATGGATTGTGCTCCTCATGCATATGGAAAGTGCTTCCCTGAAATGATCGTTCTGACACCCTCCAAGTTTTTGTATTAAATTTCCCAAGTAAGTATTGGCCCAGTGTTTCTTGGGGGTTGTGGCACAAGGAGTTGGGAATTGGTGAACCATGGTGAAAGGCAAAGGGAATCAGAAGGATGTCTCTTGATTTGGTTGATTCCTTTTTCACGTTTCGCTATTAAGAACAGAAACACAAAGAAAGGGTCAAACACCAAGGAGGTTGATATTGACAAATCTTAAACCGATATAGACTCAATTTAAGGGAGTGAAAAAACCGTGTGCGATGTATCCAAACTCCAGTGACATTTAGTGATAACCAGTTACATATTTGGAGGACATGGGGCAATGGAAAGCACATGAAAACAAACTAAAATCATTACAAGCAAAGCATTACTGTAAAAGTAGTAGTAGTAGTAGTAGTAGTAGTAGTAGTAGTAGTAGTAGTAG